CATGGAGTGACCTTGCACTACCAGCACAATGACGCAGGCGCCTGTTCTAATGATGATTGGAAAGAAGATGTATCACTATGATTGTATCATCTCGAAAATGATTCTTCACCCATTTCCATTTTCGAGTTAATTTGATTGCTGGTAGTAATTCGGGTAGCGGCCGGCGAGAAGAATTATGCAGAGGCTCGTTCATCAGTCGACTATCCATTCTAGTGGCATGCACAAAATCAGATTGATGGGCGTTAACGACTTCTATGTGAGGCTTGGTGTACCTTGTATATACTTTGCATATATATATACGGGCTAGCCCATCTACGGAGCGAATTTATTCACGTATGGACCGGGATATATATTTGAATTTCATGAACACGAGTGTAATAAGATCGTTTTCTAGTTCAAGATAGTATGAAGATAAAAGATGGGTTCATAGATTCGTTATAGACATAAAGCAGCATAATTTGATAGAGAATATGACTAAATGCAGTGTTTCTATATACAGGGGACTCCGTCCGGAAAATCAAAAGCTCGTTTGCCCATTGGAGAAAGGTTACAGATGACTATATCTGCGTTTAGTCCTATCTCATAGGCTGAGATGCTAACGCGTTTCAGAAGGAATAGATACCTTCTTTCTTTAAACGTTCTTCCCGCTCATCCCTAAGCTTTATTGCCTAGAAAGCATGAGCCGAGTTATTTTAAACAATCTTCAACAATACACCTGGTAACCAGAAAGTGGCACCTATACCAGTTAAGTTCTTAGCCATAATGGACTTATTTTCACTGTTGGACTGAATAACTGGCTTCATGGAGTTGCTGCAATAGCGGCTAATTATACAAGAGATAAAGGGGGATATAGGACAAACAGTCGAGAACAAGCATCACGCTTACCAATTCCTCTGTTAATTTTAGATCTACTCTGTAATATTGTGGCTTTCTATACTTATTCCTCAGTTGAGTAATCCTGTGCGAAATTCAATCCAATTGACCAATTTGCGTACGTACTAATTAGCGGTATACATTACTACCAGAATCAAGAGAAACGCATAGCTCCTATCTCTGTATTCATTTGGAACGGGACCCTATCAGATCCGATAATGTCATGATTCGGAATGTACGGATGGGATTCCACTTCTCGCATCCTTTATGTGCTGAAGTTTACGGCCGAAAAATGCTTGATCTGGTAAAAAGGCTTCAGCTAAGCATGCATGACCCGGTTAGCTCTCCACCATATGACTAAGAGCGGAATGTATTGGTCGTTGCGATACCATGCCAAGGTTATGATCTGCACAGTACGGCCTTGTCACATTAGGGTCCATAAATTTAGGCCAAATTATATGCTTATTTCTGCCCAAGTCGGAGTATATAGTACTGTACTACTATTACAGTGCGTCTAGCTGGGAGTGCATAAGTAAGGGCTCAAACGTAAGTGCCACATGAACCACTATACTCTCTCATCTAGTACCAACAGTCTTTTACAAACATCAGACGCACACAAGAACGGGAAGGAAGTTATTGTGCAGTAGCAGTAAATCTAGTGCAGAAGGAGAAAACCCAGGAAACGGCAGGAGTCGCGTGAGGAACGATTACTCTGATCGACACTGCTGACTACTTCGGCCGACCAACCATCCAAAATTCGTATTCAGCTGTAACATGCTAATAGCTTATTTCCCAGTCCTACGTCTACTGCTCCCCGGTGTTGCGGAGTTTTTGTAAGTTCCGCCGTCAGCGCCACGTAGTCTACCGTTACAGTACGTGGCTTTGCTAAAAGCTTATACACTCACTACCCAAATCCGGACATCGAATTGAACGAGTAAAATAACATAGTAGTGTTGATCGCAGTTAAAATAGGTTCTAGCCCATACGCCACTGTAAAGTATTGGTGGTTGTGCCAGAACGGATACAGCAAAACGTACAGATACAGTCACCTTCTATCCAAAATGGTAAGCTCCGAGTGTCAACTCATCGACCAGTGGGAAGGACTGCATAACATTTGGAGCCCAATAAGGTATATGGGTAAGCCAACTAGCACTGTCAGAAGGAAGATGATTAAGTAACAAGAACGAATGATTAGTTATTAGAATACATGAGACGGCATCAACCTTGAGCATATGCATTGAAGCAACTAAAATATTATATAGAATAATCAACTTACACCTAAAGTTTTGATCGCCACTCAGCTTATAAGCACTAATGAATAGAACGGCTTGAATTAAGAATGCATTTTGAATAAATATAGAAGCCTATTCTGACTCCCATACACAGGTACATCAAAGGCCACGAATATAAATAAGGTGGTTTGACCTGATAGTTTTTTGCAGCATCTCAAACATTCAGTTGACAGCGGAACACCACAGTGATCTTCCAACATCTTCAAGTATGATTCCTCTTTTATCACAATAGATCTTTTTCACTAATAATACAAAGCTTCAGTAAAACACCAAAACCAAAAGCACACTATCCAAGATGAAGTTCTCGTCATTCGCCATCTCAGCCGCTCTAGGCCTCCTCTCCGCCAGCGTCGCTACAGCGGAGATCATAGCCCAGTTCACAGTTTTCCCAGGCTACCAGTGCGACTCCGGCGGTACCGTCCTCGAGATTGATGAGAGTGCCATTGGAGTTGTAGAAACCATCTCTGGTTCTGGCGCAGCAACTCTCCAGGCTGTGGCCTCTGGCTGCACTGTTATCATGTGCTTTGCAGGCGACTCCTGTAATGGTGTGGATCAGTCGTTGGATTTCAATACATGCCGCTTGGCGTCTTCTGATGGTGCGAATCGCTTGGTGTGGGACAAGTATTTTGTCAGCTGTTAGGTGGAAGTGTCTTGACTTCGGGTCCCAAGTATGGAATTTGGGAGATGGTGGCAAATGTTAACTAAATGACACACATAGTTCGTATGAATAATGAACAATAAGCGCATGAAAATGTCCTATGTTTTTGTCTTGACTAATACCTCGAGGAATAAAAGTATAGTATTTATAAATAGGCCAAGATCAGTGTTATCTCGCTCTAACGTCATTATCCAAATTAGTATATAATCTATTCAAATTCCCCAGTCACGCCAGAAACGTACTTCTAACGCCAAGCTTAGGATGCCTTCTTGAAATGTATCTTTTGTACAATATGCTCCATCTTTTTAATTGCCATTTTTACCCATTAGTTTGAGGGAAATAACTTTATGATCGTTATAAAATCAAAATATCCCGAGGATCGAAGAGCTCATTGTGATGAGTCAACATATTTCGGCTTATCCATCTCTAGCTTCATACCTAGAATCATCTTGACTTCAGGGCAGTACTTTAAGATGTGGTTGACTTGGTCCTCGTTATCCCAGATCTATACGGTACGGAAAGTTAGCGCCAAGATCCTATATTAGTCCAACGCAGAAAGAGTAGCCACTCACCTGAGGATGGTGGACTCCTAGCCATCCAATATGATAGCCCATAGGACTCTCATCCCAAACACTCTCTACAGAAAAATGTTTCGAAATGGTAGCATTGGGCATCTTTGCGCCATCCAAGTCTTTCATACGATTAGTCAACCACAGATCCTCCAGTTCAGGATGTCCAGCAGTCCGACTCTCCTTCTCCAATACTTGTAGAATCCTGGAGATTTTCCTCAAGCTCAGACCCCCATTTCCTCCCCATTGTATCCCAGCGCCCCAAGGCGCGCCAATCCAATCCCAATCCAAATAGTCGTTGAGACTCTGCTCTGAGTTCGTGCAGAATATGGCGTCTGGTTGAAAGACGAGGACATGCTCTGCAGGTGCCATTATGTCCCGGTATAAGTGGATATCGGTGAACATCTGGCTCACATTCTCGCGATCGGTAACTTGGTATTCGGGTGGTATCGTTTGGATCCGCAACCTGCCAGAAGACTCGAGTCGTAAGATTGCTGGTTTGGAGCGCATGAAGGATATAGCTTCAGCAGAGCCCATGAACAGAAATTGCCATTCGGGAGGCACTATCTGCATCATGTGTAGGAACAGCGCCGGCAAGTGAGGGATTGGTCGGGTTTCGACGAGGAAGACGAGCTTCGAAGGATCGTAGAGCGGGGTCGTGCCATTGCCTTTGTATACGACGGGAGGAGGTAGGACCTGGAGTTCAGGAACAACTTGTCTCGATGCATCTTGATAACGCAGAAAGGAAAAGGCACTAATGGGGGGTTTTGAATGAGCCCGAAGAACCGCAAGACACAAACTCAAAACGCAGCTACCAGGAAGCCCCTTACATTGATACAATGATCACCGACAGGACTGCACCCGTGATGAATTGACGCTTGCGAGACTGCAGATACCACGGATCTGTACTCACAGACATCGCAGAGTTGTTACGCGGCACGACTCTCGCCCCCCAGAGAATTCGATATGGGGGTTTTGCAGGGATATCAGCACCGGGAAGAACGGTTAGACATCAGCATCCAGTACTGTAAAAAGACAAGATGGACCAATCCAGCCGCATATACGAAAAAGCCGCTGGAGGAAAATTGAAACTGAGAGGATGAAGTAAGTGAGCACGAGACATTGTGTTGGTATACGCAAGACGCCGCCGTTTCTTTCCTAGCCTCAGGGGTGTTGGTCGTCATGCTTTGGCAGCAAGGTTCCACGTAATGGTGGTGAATGTGAAAAGTTTCGGCTGACGCAGGCCGAGACCCGAAAGGGGTGTACATTGGCCAAAAGAAGCAATTTAACAGGACAGCCACCCCATCTTGGCAAGGGCAAGCCACCCGCCCTACTCCTCTCCTGTCTATTGGCTCTAAACACTCCATAGTGGATCCTTATCCGCTGCAGCTTACTAGAAGAGGTAATTTGGCTTGATTGTGCAACATCAGGTCATTCGCAAGTTTACTCCATAAGAAATATTGTTTCTCTTGGCATACATTCTCGCCTGCAAGACTTTTAAGGGAGAAACGGTAGAAAAGAATATAAACAGAAAAAAAAGGAAAGAAAAAAAGAGTTATTTGACGGGATCGAACCATCTTCGCTTTCAAGTCCAATGAATTGCTTCACTGGCGGTGCTGGGAATCGAACCCAGATTGAAACGGACTTGTTTGTGAGGCGAACTCTAACCACAACGTCACGTGCTACCATTACACCACACCACCCTGCCCTTTGAGTTGTGACGACGGGCTAATATTTTAATTTTAATTCTATCACCTGCTCTGCACCTCCTATCATTTTGGTAGCAAGACTGCAGAACTACCGAACTTGGTGTTAATAATATCAGTGACAGCGATACTCTATTCATCATTCTGAAATTCTGAACCTTCAAACCAAATTTATTATTTTCAACAGTGTCTAGTGTGATAGATCAAACTTGCGCTCTCTCATACCGGTCTTTTGGGACAAACTTTTCTTCGACCCATAATGCTAAAGCACAAAAAATACATACCATACTCCACGCTAGACTATCGTTATATTCTTCAGGTACCCAAGTGCTCAGCACCGGTACCTATATCTCTAAGACGTGATCCAGCTGTCGCACTTAAAGATCCCCAAATCTTTCCTCTCCTTTCCGAACGAACCGGACCGGAATATGTGCTCCATTCAACTGCATTGTAATGGTATTCCCCAACTTATTATGCAGTGCCCACTCCGTCTTTTCCCTCGCTTTCACCCAGGTTTCCTTCCTTTCCTGCTTGCTCATGCCCCTGACTTCTTCGTCACTTGCCCACTCGTCCACTGCCAGCTCAACGGAATACTGCGTCAGTATAACTGCCAGAGCAGCCAAGATCTCTACCTGAGCGAATCGTTTCCCTAAGCATGCCCGCTGGCCGTCACTAAATGGGATAAAAGCACCTTTTGGCGGTGTGTAAATCTCGTACGCGGAAGACGCTTTCGATGACCTCGTGGATGTATCCTTCGGCTTTACCCACCGATCCGGAACGAATTCATCAAGGTCATTCGTGACTTTATTGAATGGAAAGTATCGCCGTGCTGGATTCTTAGGAGGTCTCGAAGGCCAGAATCTAGGATTTCTATGGATCGCTTGGTTGCATAGTCGAACTATCGTGCCTGGAGGTAAGACAATATCTTTATTATTCACCACGAGATTCTGGGGCTCCGATCCAACCGACTTAGGCACTGCAGCAATGGCGCCAATGAGTCGAAGTTGTTCGTTCATAATTGCATATAGATAGCTATTGAATAGTTGTGGAAGATCGCGCTCGTATTCCCACTCTGAGATAGGCCGATCCCTGAAGATTTCGGAGAGCTCTTTCTGTGCTTTTCGCTGTGTGTTGGGATGAAGCGCTAGGTATATAAGACTGAAATGAATGCTGTTGGCCGATGTTTCGTGGCCTGCTAGTATGAACACAAAGAGGTTTCCGGTGACTTCACTGTCACTCAGGGTAGTGGCTGACTGATTAGACTTGTCCGCCTCTTGAGCTTTGAGAAGTTGGCCCAACAGATCAACAGTCGAAGTTTCATCATCTCTGGATCGAATAGCTTCCTTCTTGGAAGCCACCATTTCGTCGAGGTACTTGCCCCATTCGAGATAAGCCTGATAGGATTTTCTCACAACCTTCCAGGGAGAATTTTCTATGTAGTATATGTCAGTAAAGAGATCCAAAAGCATTCCAGATCCCAAAAACCTACCCAATATTTGCGGTGGCAACCCAGCAGAGATCATGACTAAAAATATATTGCGTAGAACATATTGAAGTGCCTCGGTGAAACTCAGCTCATGGCCGGGAGGCAAATTCTCCAGCTTCTTTGTCTCTTCAATTTGCCCAGCTTTGGGCCATTCGATCGTTTGGCCGAGTCCAGCTCGACCAATAACCTCGAGACTTAGCCTCATCGCATCGCTAGCAACGGTGGTAATAGTCTCTAACCCACTACCGGAGCTCACCCACGAATTAACCACGTTCTGAGTGATCTCTAACGTCTCGTTCCAGACGAGATGATTATTCTTCTCACTAAAGGCTGGTCCTGCAATAGCTCGATGTCTGCGCCAGGTTGCACCACTCGAGGAAACAACGTTTTTGCCGTAAATATTCACGCGCTCATACATCTGAGTCGGCTTAGGAAAATCATTCCCTCGGGCTATAACTTGGGCTGCGACATTGGCGTCTGCAGTACTTAAGGTGATGCCAGACGGCGACACTGTTAGGAAGCTGTCCGATCCCAGGTCGGCAAAGATGACATGCCGCATCTTCCACCACGCGCCCGCTGTGATGCGACGCCATGATGTTGTAGAAGGCTCCGGAAGAATTTTATCGCATAGTCTGAGGATTGTTCTGGTGAATATGAGAGACGGAATCGGGCTGTACGGGTGTACTGGTACAATCACGTAAGGAAGGCCGGTCGCTCTGGCGATGCGGATGTTCTTGGCCAGTGAGATGAGACTGTTCAGTAGTAGCACGGCAGGGAGGAGTAAGACGACCAATATCGATGTGGAATACATGCCCAGTCAATGCGAAGTGGGGTCATAAAGACTCTCCCATCATTTACATATATTCCATGAATTTTTTTGGTTGGATGTCTGGTCGAGATCAGTTTTTGGCTTGAAGAGGACAAACAACCTAATTAATATGAAACTTCCTAGTATCAAACCTGTTCCAGAGTCTATTTTTAGATGCCGCTTCGCGCTTAAGGAAGTTAAGGGCATAAGGCCTATATTAAGACCCGTCAGCGCTACATAGTAGAGGAGCCATATAGCAATTCTCTTTTCGATCATGTGCAGTGTAGAAACCGCATCTGGTAAATAGTTGCTATATTTGAGAGACCAATATTCACGAACACCAATCAGGAGAACTATACGTATGAGTATGCGGATGCAGTGGGCCGAGACATGGAAGAGGTTCTCCATTACTGCCTGTAAACACTTCGGTTGGATGGCAGATGTAGTGATGAAGTCTCCAAATGTATATGCTGTATTGACTGATTTTCAGGAAGGCAAGGGCAGCCGCAATGAAAGTCTGGAGAATCTTCATACACGGAAATCCGCGAATACACTCAAGTTATAATTTCGAGATTGACCGTCATTCAAATGAGACACCTGATAATTAAATACAATTGAAGTTGAATACAATACCATGCCAGAGGGTAAGATGGAAAGGAGAACTGGCAGGCGACTATACATGCAATCTCTTCCTCGTCTGTGGATTTTTTGACTAGGTCTTCGGTCCGACAACGAGTAAGTATAATCTTCGCATAGACCTTGGTAGTCCGTATATCTTAATATTGTTTAGACGTGCCTCTAAATCCAAAAATATATGGCTAGGTTATTAAATAATGCGGTACTGTTCGAAAAAGGCCTTCCCTGAGTATGTTTTCCCGCCTTGCATTCTGCCACTTATTGGGCCCGTATACCTAGCATATGTTGTCGTGTTCACCTGCTGGAGCCCAATAGTAACTTTTGCTTCCAAAATACCGTGGTCACCCAAGTCATAGACAATTGAAAAACCTTCTGGATTACTGAACGTCTCTGTCGGCGGATAGGCGCTGTTACCGCCAAATGGTCGAACCTTCAATGCACTGCTCTGGCAGGTAGCACTGATGACGCTTCCGTCGTAAGTCGCATAGGTAGACACATACTTCTGTACCGTCAACGCTCAAAGCATCTAACCAAACAATTGAGAACGGACCAAATCGCGCGTGACCCCAGTACCAAGTTGCAAGACTATCCAACAAAGGGGTATCTCCGAAAAGCCTATCTTCAAACCCAATCCCAGTAAAGGAGAGCTTTTCAGTACCAATAGTGATATCAACAACACCGTCTGCATCTGGTACTGGGTTCACCCAGCCCACTCAGGGAAGTGCAAACTCAGAAGAATTTGCCTTATTGACATCGCAAGGATAGTGTACTGGGGATGTCTACCGAATTCATTAGAAGGAGTACTGAAGGAGATTGGGACACTGCAAGCCCTTAAGAAAAAAGTAGCTAGTAAGTGATCTACGATTTAGGCCTTCACATACCGTGCTAAGAGTAACTTTCCCAGAAATCTCATAGGAGGGAATATCCAGATGGACTACATATTTGCCATTGCTCAGGGTGCTTTCCCACCAGACCCCTTCAGCTCCGAAGTCACCAAATGTTGAATCACCCAGCGACACCACAGTTACGTTTGCGCTTGCATCAGCTGAGAGAATATCAGTAGATGCAGTGCCGTTTGCAAATGTCCCGCCAATCAAGCCGCCGATCAGCAAGTCAGGGTCACCGAAAGGGAAGCCACTGGAAAGGCCCAGGAAGGCAGTGAGCGCGAAGCTCTCGTTTGCGGAAGACGTAGATACAACATCCCAATACGTTCTAATATTCAAGTCAGTTATATTCCGAAGAATAACCCCATACAGAACTTTCTAAGCGTCTTGCTTACCCATCGTAAGAGCTAGCATTCGGATAAGGGTGAACCTTTGGGCTGTCAGGTGTAGTTGGTCCTGAATTAAGCTCTATAGTCACTGGCCCATCATATGCTGAGTTCGGTACTGTATACAGCAATGCTCTAATACCCAAAGGCAGTAGCAATGAGAAGGGAATGGCTAACTTAGTCCTTGGTAACATCGTGTTTGCCGTTGTAAGTTCAGACTGAGGATGTGACCAAAACGGTGAGCTGAAACGGAATGCCTAGATAATAATATTGAATAAAGATTACGTGGAGAATGAGTTTTCTTGGCCGTAGATACCCATTACAACAGTATCGAAGTTGATCAAACTAATTCTCATGGCGCCTTTATATTCTTTTAGCCTTACAATCGATACACTCTGTAGTATTCCCACGCAAAGTGGGTGCTAAGACCCTTCTACTAATATACGTGCCGTAGTAGAAGAACGGTGCCGCCATTGCAGACCTGGACCGGAATTAGTTGAATCCGTAGCTCCAGGATGATCGCCGTCTAGGGCACCATTGCCTAAAACAAATACAAACCCTTGACAATATGGATGTTACCGCTCAATGCTTACTCAATGGACTTTGGTATCTCCACTTTATTCAGGTCAGATTAACTCCGTCCCCGTTAATCCATCCACCTTGGCGATCCCGCAGCAGTTAAGCTTGTTGCCGGTGCTTAAGCTAAGGACTGTTCTTGGCATACAGCTTTATTTACGATACTAAGAATGACGTAGGTCTCTGATATTGAGATGAACCTGCAGACTTACTTTGTTCTT